AGTATATAGTGTATATAGTATTACGTGCATAATGCCTAAGGCTAAAACTGCGCACTTTATCTTTCGGGCTTCCTATAGATTAGCCCTCTTCTAAATATATCACAGTTTATATTAAGTATCTTCTAGGTATTTCTTTAGTACGAGGAGCTTATCTCGAGACATCGAGTAGAGAGGGCCGTACGGCGGCGGCTTGCCGTCGATTAGTTCGATTTTGTAGTCGATACCTAGCCGGTATAGTAGTAGAATGTCGGCGTTCTTCTTCGAAAACTAGTAGAGTCGGTACTAATACTCCTTCGGTAGTTTCGTTCTTAGATCCGTTAGTTCTTCGTCGAACTTTCGGATAGCCTTCTTAACATCCTATATTGTTATAGCGAAGATCTAAGTACGTTTGTCGCGGGCAAGACGCGAGAAGGCAGCCGCGCTAATAGCGAATACGGTACGATCTCGGGGAGTATCGGAGGTAGAACTAGATTCGTTAAAGTAGTACTTAGCGTAATACTTGCTCGTAAAGGATAGAGATTCGGAGGCCTAGTCGATAACCGGGTTATACTTTTTAAGCTAAGGAAGACTAAGAATAACGGGGTAAGTCTTCGGGAGTTTCGTAAGGAAAAATATAATATATTCGGTATACAGGCCGATAGTAATAGATAAGTAGTAGATCTAGGTTACCTTACTAGCGGCCGCGGTCGTACTGTTAAACATTTCTAACTCCCGAGCGTACGTAAGGTCTTAGAACGTTAAGCCGAGCTCTCTCGTATAGTCGTAATCTATAAACGAGTAGCTAGTTACGCCGTTATTAATAAGAGCTATAGTTTTTAATAATTTCTTTTAATTTCCTATAAATGTTTCTACTACGAAAGGCTAGCAGAGTCTAAGTACTCGAAATAGCTATAGCGAGTATAGAAGGCTGTTTTCTATTCATCGCCTTTACGAATGTAGATGCGATAGTATGCATCCTTAATATCTAATACAGTATAGTAGTAAGCGCTAGAAAGGCGGTCGAGGGTCTTATTAATAAGCGGGAGTAGACAGCGGTCTTTAATAGTAATAGCATTAAGCCTACGATAATTAACATATAGGCGTAGGCTACTATCCTTCTTTAGTACGAATAGGATAGGTATACTAGTAGGACTATTACTATACCGAATACGACTATTAGCTAGGTTTTCTTCTAGGTACTTACGTAATATAGCAAGCTTGCGCTTACCAAGGTTATAGAGTAGTCTAAAAGGAACCTCTTTGCCCTCTATAATATCAATCTTATAATCCGTCTCTTTAAATATAGGCAATGTCGATACTAGGTAGTGTTTAAACACATTAATATAGGTCTCTCGAATAGGCTCTAGTATACGAGCAAGCTAATTAGGGTCTATACTATTAGAGGGCACAGGTTCTTCGTTATTACTACTAAGCAGGTCGGTAGTCGGGTTAGCTAAGGCGGAGGCTAGTATTAGGTTGCTAATAAACAAGACCCTAATATTATTAGGGCACTCGCTAACATTAATATTATTAATATCCTCTTTCCTAGCGATTCTAAATCGCTACTTCTAGAGGCCTAGGTCTATAGCTATAGCGTAGTACTTAAGAATAGGGTTGCTAATAATAATATCGGATAGGAGGCTGTCTATGTCTACTACGTAGGTAGTAAAGTCTAGTAGGCGCTTATTACCGAGGTCGTCCCTTAGAACTATAGGAATATAGCAGGCTCTATAGGTTAAGTGCCGAGCGTTATTAAACTAAGTAAGGGTTAGCATGTTAGTTCTAGGCAATTGTCGGAGGTCTAATTGCTTAGCTAGGCGGTAATTGATAAGGGCACTAACTAAATTTCCTAGATCTAGTATAACCCTAGTTTAATAGTTAGTTCTATACGTATCCTATATAAGACAGGTACGTATAATAGCTAGCATAATGTCGATAGTTTTACGCCGCACAAGGCTAACAGTTAGTACGACGCCTAATCTTTTTTCGAAGGTTAGCCTATAGGGGTAGCGTTAGCCGCTAAGAGGTGCTTTCGGTATTTAGCGGAAGCACGATTAATTCGGGCCTAGTCCTTAGGTTTGTCGTATTAGCCTAGTAGATAGCTAGTGCTATTACAATTAAAGCACTTTAATCCGGTTAGTAGACTGCCGTAGCTATTATTATTATTAGTAGAGCGGTTAGTATTGTAGGGATACGAGCCCCTTCTACGGCCCCTATCGCGGCCTCCTCTATATAGCCGCCGGCTACGGCCTCTTCTACGGTCGCTATTACTGTTCCTATTATTAGTATTGTTGTCTTAGTAGGAACCTTAGTTTCCTCTGTAGCTACGATTGCTACGGTTAGTACTAGCTAGTCGGATCCTCGATTCTAATCGTTATTAAAGCTAGATAGCTCGTTCGGCTATTTCTACTTCGACTATAAATTAAATACGTATTAGATTAGCCTATTCGAATATACGGCGACGGTCTAATTCGAGAATAAGCTCCTACCTAAGCTTAGGGCGTATTTCCGAGATCTATATAGAATTAGTCTTAGCCGGAAGGTTATTCTTAAGGGTCTTTAAATAGGCCTTAAATAAGCGAGCCGATTAATTAGTCTTCTATTTAGCTCGAAGATATAGGTCCTAAGTATATTATTGCCTTAGTATAGGGTTTCTAAGGGTGTCTAGCATAATAGTTTTGTAGGTCTGCTACTAAATAGCGGTCTAGTTGTCGAGGGAGTCGAAATAGTTATCCTATATACGCTTTAGGTCGCTATTAATATACTATATAGCGTGTACGACTAAGGAATAATCGTCTAGTAGCGCTCTTAGTGCATTACGCTAGTTGAGTTTACAGTTACGAATATAGTCGTTATACTGCTTTCGACTAGAGCTATTAAATATAGTGCAGTCCTTAAGTTTAGCATCCTTCTTTTAGATAGGTAGTAAAGAAGGTCCTACTATTAGTTTAGTAGTAGTTATTAGGGCTTCCTAAAGGCGATAGAGCTCGAGGAGGTTATCCTTTAGCTATTATTCTTAACGTAGGGTAGTAAGCCTGTTTTAAGTAGCTTCTTAAAGTCTCCCTAATAGTTAAGGCCTAAAGGCTAGTTAGCTATATCGTCGATTAATAATATTGTTAAGAATGTCGTTAATAGGCAATTCCGGATTATTACCTAGAATTATAGGTTCTTCTTTAGTAGGCTCTTCGGTAGGCTCTTTAGTAGGAGGCACTTTAGTAGGTGCTCTAGTAGGCACTTTAGTAGGCACTGTGCTACTAGCGTTGTTATTGCTAGCGCTACTAGCGGCGCCGCGATTGTTGTTTCGTAATAAGCCGGCTATTATAATAAGGGGTAGCACTAATAATATATTATAGCCCCTTATAGTACGGATATAGCGGAATTAGCGAGTATCGGCCTAATGTGCTTAACTTAGTATAATAGGCCGTATAGAAGGCCTTGCTTAATAATTAGTACAGTTGTTTTAATAGAGTAGTACGTATAGGTCCCGTTCTTCGGGCGTAATATAGTTAAATTGATAGTTTCCGTAGCTATACCGCTAAAAGCTTAAAATAAGGACTATCTAGCTACTAGCCTTAAAGGGTAGATCGAATACTATATAAGAAGGGTTATATTAGCAGGTAGATAGGGTAGTAGTAGGTATAAGTAGTATTCGATAGAGAACTAGGAGGAGAAGGAGGAAGGCAGACTAGTTAGCCTAACGCTAAGCGCTAAGCCCTGCCTAAGGCACTAAGACCCTAGCTTTACTCGGCCTAATTACATGCTAGTTACGTATAGCCCCTTTAGCCCTAACACCTTTAAAGAAGCGTAACTCCTTCTAATTCTTTATCGATAGTATATAGATCTAATTGCAATTATATCGCTCTTTTATAAAGTACTCTTCTATCTTTATAAGCTACTTATAATCTTCCTCTTTTAGCTACTATTCTAGCTGCTTTTCTACCTACTTAAAGAACTGTCTAAGAAGGCTTCTTAGCGGTATTCCGAGTATTATAGTAACCCTTATAGGAGGTAGAGATTCTTACGAAGAACGAGATACTTCTTCGATAATAGAAGAGGTTAACTTATTAGCTAAGCTAGTAGCTAGAGTCTAGGCTATCTCGAGAAGCTTTAAGTAATTAATAGCGGCCTATTAGATAGAAGCTAGTATAGAGCGAGAACGATAAGGAGTCTAGTTATAATATAGGTTAGATAAGTAGGTAGATAGTATAGTCTAAAAGCGTATAGTATTCGATAGGGTCTATAAAGAAGGAAAAGGAAAGTTAGGAAGTTAGGCTAATGCTAGGCGCTAAGCCCTGCCTAAGGTACTAAGACCCTAGCTTTACCTAGCTAGTTATATATCTTTTATACCCTCTAATATTCGGGTAGTAACTAGATAATAAGAGATATACTACTTATAGCGGTATAGGGATACTATTTAGGTCCTATAAGAGTAAAAGAGGAGCAATCTACCTAGTAAACTATATAGATACGTGCTCCGATTACGCTTTCCTTAGTATGCTTACGTATTCTGTAAAACCTAGTAAGATCTAAGCGGTCTAGTTAGTTAGATACGCTTTATATAAGTCCCGAGTACTATAGTACGATTAAGCGAGATAGCGGACGGGGGTAATCCCTAAAAACGGGATCTAACTGTTTGAAGCTAGCGTACTACCCAAAGGAATTATCCGCATCTTTAAAAAGTCCACGTCTAACGTTTTCAAGCTAGCTGCCGTTTACGGGGATCACCCCCGTCCGCCATCTCGCTTAATCGCACTGTACAGTACAGTACAGTATGGCAGGCAGTGTATGCAGCCCGGCCACTGCAACCAGCGAGTTCCAATTGTCCTGCGCTTTCCGCAAGCGATGTCGATATCGATCAACAGGAGAGGCTGTTGCGAGCGAGCCATGGGCGCCAATGGCAGCCAAGCCAAAGCACATGCATCCACTCCAACCACTCCCACTTCGCATTTCGCTATACGCCACTTCTAGCCAAGCAGTGCACTTCGCATCTCACCCAGCTGCTGCCTTCGATCGTGGACACGATGCTCTTTCCACCTTCGCCCACGCGGAGCGAGTGCGACTCGCTGTATGGCATCGATGACCTGGACGCCTTCCTCGACGCTCAAGGCAAGCTCTCCCGCTTTCCCACTCCTCCGCCCGTGAACAAGGACGCCATCATCATCCTCGAGACAGAAGAGCGTTCACATCCATCCCGCGAATATCGTGCTGACGACAACATGGACTACCATTCTCACGTCGTCCATCTATTCCGACAACAAGCCATAACGAGCGGCGATCCGGATCAGGACGACGACCTGTTGCTCCTGGAGTCGCTGTCGAAGGTGCAGCTGCCCTTCGAGATGCTTCAGCTGGCCCTCAGCATTCTAACTCTCCTCCGAAACCGTAAGTCACGTTCGCAAGAGCAGCAATGTCCTCGTCGGAGCTGTTCGCATGTTGGAAAGGCACTGACCGTCTATCCAGGAGACGAGAAGCACCTGCTGCCGCCCGACACTTCCAGAACCGCATGGCCCCTCTACGTCCTTGCTGCTTGCATGCTTGCTGCGGATTACCTTGATGATACGCCACGCAGTCTCATCTGGTGGCGCTACCACTTCTGCGGCGACCACGTGGGGCTCGACACGCTCAATGGATCCAAGCTCGAGCTCTTGAAATGTCTCGATTGGACTCTGCACCTCTGCGCCTCCGACCACGCCATGGAGTCCGCACGCATGAGGCTCTCGGCCCAGCCTGCACAGGAACACCACGTTTGGGCCAAGTATGCACTCCCTCAAGGTCATGAATATGGCCCGTTCCATCGACGAATCGATTCGGGTGTCGACGGCTTGACCGCGCAGCTCGAGCACCCCCAAATCAAATGAGAGAGCATTACACGATTGCTGAAGCTGGGCCGGCCACATGTCAATCACTTTCCAGCAGAAGAGCTGTACGCCCTTACGAGCGTCTATTTATGTACGAATCATTGCACACTGCAGGGAGTAAGGACGAGAGCGAAGGCGTTTAGACGGGAATAGAGGGAGTCGACGACACATCTTCAAAAGATACCCATCCGCATCACTCACTGTACATACATCCATAATTAGAAACCCACAAGGCTTTTTTTTCTCTGCACCAACCATTTCGATGCCTACCTTACACACACCCCACACAATCCTCATCCACAGAATTAAACCACTTCCTCTCCCCCAACCCCTCACCCACCATTTCCATCCCATTCATACGATCCGGCTCCAACTCCAACACAACCACATCATTCACCCCCTCCTCCTCCTCTTTCAACAACGTCCCAGGCAAATACAAAGATTGCTGAGGTCCGACAGTCCAATATCGACCAAGATTAAACCCGTTGACAAAAACTTGTCCTTTGACTGCCGAAGGGAGGGAGAGATACGTATCCAGCGCCGCGGGAGATGATGAATATGACTTTGGGGTGCTGAAGGTGCCGTGGTAGAAACGGGGTTCGGAGGAAGTCGTGACGACGTCCTCGTCCTCTGAATACGAAGGTGAAGGAAGCTCTTTCAAAGGAATCGTATACACCTTCCAATTCTCCAGAACTTGCCCCCCACCACCACCCCCCACCGTGACGTTCCCCACGATCCCTTTCTCCGGCTGTCTCAGACGATCTTCGTAGGAATTCCCCCGCGAGTAGTAATCCACTCGTCCGAGATTCTCCACGAGCAACGCCAATTCATCTCCGATTTTCAAGTCGATGCTGATGTTGGGGGGGTGTTGGTATTGGCTGTCGAGGACACCGATTCGGGCCCGGTTTTTGTAAATGAGGACGCGGTCACGGGGGCGGTCGCCGGGGTGGATGATGCCTGAATGGGCGCCGGTCGAGGTGTGGGTGTAGAGGATGAAGCCGTAGCCTTGGTGGAGAGATTCCATGGGGACGGGGTAAGGGGAGATGTGGGGGGTTGAGGAGTGGGAGAGGGAGTGAAGAGGGAGTGTACGGTTGAGAGTAATTTGGGGTCCTCTAGGTCGCCTCAGCATCAGCTGCCTCCGCGTCCGCACCTTCGGCTTTT